GAGTACTTATGCGCCGCCAATTTACCTGTTTTCTATGTTGTCTCCCATTTTTCTTATATTGTCTCTTTCCTATGCCTAATTGTTACGTGTTTAGACTAGTGTTGTTAAATTGATCGTTCTTATCATGCTTATGGATTCTCTAGTGATAATTGAGTATTTATTTCAAAGTTGAGATTGATATTATGGAACCAAATGTTGAAGTAAGGCTTGTACTTCAATATTGCATTATGGTAATGGAGAGTGTTAATGCACGAAGGGTGATGGCGTGCCATATTGTGAGTGTTAATGCACGAAGGGTGATGCCGTGCCATGAGATGAGAGTTAATGCACGAAGGGTGATGTCGTGTCGTTTCTATTGTTTAATGGTGAGATTGAGAGTAAAAGTACGAAGGGTGATGCAGTGTACTTTTTCTTTATTGTATTCGTCATTTCTGTTGATTCATAGTATATTGGTTGTTCCGATTTTCATTTTGCAGTAGTTCCTTATCTCGTATTTCCCCCAGCATATTTTTCCCGTCCCAATATTTTCTGTCTAGCTCTTCATTACTGTTATTTGTATATACACTCTTAAATTGTACAAGTTGATTTGTAGGTGCCTTGCATTAGTCTCGTCACTACTTCGTCGAGGTTAGGCTCGACACTTACCAGTACATGGGGTCGGTTGTACTGATATTGCACTCGGCACTTTCTGTGCAGATTTTGGTACCGACTCGGGTTGATCAAGATTTTGCTATTGGACCGCTATCCGGAGACTCAAGGTAGATCTGTCGGCGTTTACAGACCTTGAAGTCCCCGTCTATCTTTTCTGTTCTACTGTTTCTTTCATTCAGACAGTTGTATTTCTTTCAGACTATTACTTGTAGTGAATTCTAGAATGCTCGTGAATTGCGACTCAAGATCCGGGTGATAGTAGTTAATAAAATTTTGATATTATTCCGCACTCACTATATTTTATCTTAGTTAATTATTGTTAATTACTGAATGGGAATAAAGAAATGGTTTAATAATTCTATGACGTTGGCTTGCCTAGCAAGTGAAATATTAGGCGACATCACAGTCCCGTCGGTGGGAAATTTCGGGCCGTGACGGAAATAAATTTTACAAATTAAAATTCCCTGGTGTATCTGAACCTCCTGTTCCGAAACTGTTTGACGCAGATCCGTTATAATCAATTTCGGTACTAATAGTTACATTACCAATATGCCATTGTACATTCTCTATTTTTCTCTGATTGTTACTTACCTATCATTATCATAGTTGTTCTTCCATTTTCATTTTGCCTTGTAAACTCATCTCCGACTCGGTTGTCCTCAACTGTGTTGATTGACAAATTTTGGTGATGAAGAAGGTTTAAACTGAAAACAAGCGAAGATTAATAAAAAATTTAGTATCTTTGGATGAATAGCAAATTTTCTTGAGTTTCCCGTAACTGAGCCAAACTGTTAACCTAAATAATAATAATTTTTAAGGTCAAAATAATTAATTTTATATGACGGATCACCGACAATCGATTCGATCCGAAAGATATAAATTTTTGTTAATACAATGTGATAGATAAGTGAAAATAAATTCAACGGCAGCGAATAAAAATAAAGCAGAGAGGAAATAATTCTCATTGGATGATCCTTCATAGGATGATGAGCCGAACAGAGCTTGAGGAGCCAAACTACGGTAAACTTGGGAGCAAGTTGCTATGAATTGCAATGTATAGAACTATAGAGAAGAAAATTAAATGATTATAATGGAGGTAAAGTGTGTCTATTTATAGGGCTAAATCTAAGTAACTATTCTTCTTGAATTATGGGTCTATTATGAGCATTTACTCAATTCATCCGTTACTTTTGGATGACTTGTAACAACTGAGTAAATACTAGAATTTCGTAATTGATGAATTAATTCCGTAACTAAATGAGTTAATTCCGTAACTGACGAGTCAATCCCGTACCTATTGAGTCAATCCCATACCCGTTGAGTCAATCCTGTGCCTGGATTCGGGCTATACTATAATAGTTTCGAGAGTAACAGGCACGGTACAAGTATGTTTAGTCCCGAGGGTGTTTTACATGTCATTCTTCATTTTTCTCATAATTTTGTTGACACGTGTCGCCATTTAATAGACCAACGTGACGAGTCTATTTTTCACTAATACACTTGATCGGTTGCTTTAAGTTCATATAATACATATATCTCTGATTGTTGATTGGGCCGATTCGATGGCTCTGTTTGAATTAGCTATTTTGATACTTCTGGTCTTATTCTTGATTCAATATGGAGACAGGGCCTTAGTGCCAGGGGCGTATCTATGGGGTTTCCATGGGAAACGTGAACCCATGCCCCCCTCCCTAAATTATGTATAGTAATGTTATATATTTTCAAAAATATTTAAATATATGTGTGTGCACCAATGCTCAAAGTATTATATGATGTGATGATTATTAGGCGTACCTCTCTAGGTGAGGTTGTGACTTTAAATCTTATGTCAATCTTATTTTTTTTCCTCTAGAACTAGATGCCCACGGGGATGGACGTGTCTGGTGTCTCTTTTTGGATAGTAATTAAGTACTTTTTCTTTTTATTTCTTTAATTGTTTGGTTTTGTCTTTCAAAATTTTCAAACATTAAAATTCTTATTCTTTCTTTTGTCGTTGTAAAATCTTATATGATTAAATAAAATATGTATTTTAAAACTAGCAATAGTGTATGATGTAGCATATAATCAATGGGTTCAACTGATCCCAATATTTTCAAGATGGAAAATAGAAATAGATGTAAGAAAATTACTATTTTTAAAGAAAAAATTAATTTTAAACTTATAATTCCAAAAGTGTAATGGGTGCACAATAGTAAGAACTAAAGGTTAAACCCGTAAAATTTATATTCTGGATCCACTTCTTTTTAATAGTGCATACATCCTGCCAAAATTTTGGATCCGTCTCTAGACTTGGTGCACAGTAGCTAGTCAGTGGGGTCAAGAGAGTGATTTGTTAGTGTTCTTAGTCTTAGAACGACCTTATTATAATGTATTTTCTATACCCCTTGACTAGTTTATCATTTACATGTTATGACTATGAAGAGAATTGATCTGGGAAAACATGTCAATATGGCGTATAAAGAAAAATAAAAGAAAAATGCAAATCTTCTTCGTATATTTATATATCTATATAAAAGTGAAAATAGATAAGGTGACTTAACACCTCTCTTTGGCCGAGATACTATTTATCTTTTTTCTCCTTTTTTTTTTTGCCTTTTTCTCTTATTTTTATTTAAGTAAATTAGCTCAACAATGAATTGAATCTCTTTGATTGCCCATTTTTATTGTACTCTTTAAACCATCCCGTTTAAAAACTCCAAAAGTCAACTTCTTAAACCTTATTCTACCGTTTCAAGCCTCTCCTCTTCCCCTATAATTGCTTATTAATTGATATATTAACATCTGATGTTTTGTGCTTATTTGGATTATATATTTAGGCACCCATTACCAGCCTACACAAGCAAATTTAGGAATGAAGGTTAGCATAGCAAACACTTCTATGAGTTCTCTCGAAAGGTATGGATTTTTGGTGCTTTCGAATAAAATAAAAGCTGTACAATTATGTGATTTATACTATCGGGGATGCCTTTTTATCTTTTGCTCTATTTTAATTTTTTTTTGGTTTTGCTTTAAATACTTGGGTTCTAAATATTTAATTATTATTAGGAGCAGTTGCGCAATGAACAGAAAAGTTGTGGCGATTTGGAGATGTAAAGATTGTGCCACGGTAGTTCTTATACATTGAATTAATACTTTCTCTATAGTTAATTAATCTTCTTCTTCTTTTTTCCTTTTTCCGCAATAACACTGTAAGTGGTAATATAATTTTTTATGATATGTCTACGGAATCGTGAGAACATATTTTTCAATTTGAAGAACATTTTGATGTAGCTCTCGTGGAAAAAGTGGATATATTCTAAGAAAATTATTGTCGTTTCATCTTCCTTGCACTTGAATTTTAGAGTACTTTATTTCAGGGAAAAACTTTATTATCTTCATTTTGTTTTCTATATACGTCTATTACTCAAGGTAATTTTCTGATTTTGATTCATCTAAAATATTGATATATTTAACCCCAACTTGTGTTGAAGCTGAGATTTTTATTGCAGGTCTAACAAGTGATGTAAAGTTTTATCTTCATCAAAACGCAAGAGTAAATAAAAAATTTAATAATAACTATTACTACTACTACTATTATAATAATAATAATATAATAAATAATATATATTATTTATAAACAACATTTAGACGTAATGAAATGCAAGAGAATTTAACGTGACATTTTTTTCTTTCTCTCTCCAGAAGTCTCTAAATACTTTTTCTCATCTTCTCTTCTCCAATGTTTTCATATATGAATTTGATTGAAAAGTTATAAACAAAAGACAACTAAGGAGGTTAGAAACTTCATTTGCTAAGCCAATACTCAATTGTTTTACAATAATGGAAGTAGTAACACATCCTCTAATTGCCGAAGTTATTCATGATGATAAAATAATATATTTGTGATATAATCAATATATATATATATATATATATATATATATAAGTAAATTCAAAAAATAATATTTACTCACTCCAGTCCACAATAAGTGATTTTTTGATTGTTTTAACACATTAAGAAATTCACCTTTTAACATTAATTAGCAATGAAATTGACCATATTAACCTTTACTATCTGTTCACATAAACACTCTTAATACATACTTCAACACTATTTACTCCAAGGGCAGTGTAGGAAAAAAATAATTAATTTATTTTTAAAATCTGAAAAAATCACTTATTTTGAACCACAAAAAAAGGCCAAAAAATTATTTATTGTGGATCGGAGGTAGTATACAATTAGTATACCCGCGGGAAGCGCCGAGAATTTCACTAGTTTTTAAATAAAAACAAAAATATTTTGGGTGGCGACTTAAAAGATCTGAACAAGTAAAATTGGCAATTTATATTCTGGCCTTTCCAAAATTTTGAAAGTGAGTCACAAATCGAGGGTCGAATGAGCAAAAGCATATAGACAAAACCCTAGTCCAAACTTGAGAGACTCCGTAGTTTCTCCTCCAAATTCACCAAACTATGGCAAGGAGCAACGCTGCAAAAATACCTGAAGAAATCATATTTGACATACTTTTGTGTCTGCCTGCAAAGTTCATAGGCCAATGTAGGTGCGTATCAAAGCAATGGCGCAAGTTTCTCTCAGACCCACAATTCATCAAAGCTCACCTCGCTCTCCGTTCCCACAAACATGAAGAAGATAAGCTCATTGTTGTTGATTGTTCTCTTCACACTATCACCTTTACCCACAATCCCAAAGATGATTTTGATGCCATATCAAGAAAGCTTGATTTTCAGTATCTCTCAGACAATTGGGTAAGTGTTGATGGCTCATGTAATGGCTTGATCTTGGCGATTAATAGGGAAAGGGTTAAATATTTGATCAACCCCACTACCTTAAAGTACCATAAAATTCCAAATTTTCATTTGGCTCTTCCTGTGCCTGGTAGTTTTAGCATGTATGGTTTTGGGTACGATGTTGTTAGTGATGATTATAAGGTGGTTGCTCTTTCTTATTATAATGCTGTGGATGAGACTGTTATAGTTGACACTTTTGTGGATATCTACTCTGTAAGAAAAGGACTTTGGAGGAGACTTGAGATTTCTCCTTATGATCATTCAGTAACTGACCTTGCTTCTGGGGTTTTGGTAAATGGGGCTTTGCATTGGTTGGCTAGTAGTAAAACTTCTGATGAGTCATGTGTAATTGCTGCTTTTCATTTAAGTGATGAGAAATTCTTGGAGGTGCCAGTACCTTCTATGGATTACAATTACTCTTTGTTTGAACTTGTGGCTCTTAGAGGGCGTCTTTGTATGTTCACCAATTTAACTGTAGACACAATAACAATCTGTTTGATGGAAGACTATGGGGTTAAGGAGTCCTGGACCATATTTAGGCTTATGGCACCGAGTTTACATGATTATTTTTGGACACCATTGTGTTCAATGACCGATGATGATATAGTAATGGATGTCGAAGAAAAGTTGGTTCTTTACAATATGAAAGAGAATGAGTTGTGGGATCTGATGGTTGATGTAAGTCCTGCTTTGGATAAAGCTCGAACCTTGATAGAAAGTCTTGTCTGTCCTTCCTTTGGCAATGGAACCGAGGGTTAATATGATGCTTGATGCGCGAAATGCTTGTCTGTATAATGCTTGTCTGTATCCAGGTACTACAAAAACATTTTCACGTTTTCTTGTTCATTTTTGATAATCTTTGTTGTGATTTTTGAATTTGGTACCCGTCTTTAAAAGTGCAGGGCAGCCCCGTGTACAAGGCATCCTGCATTCACCTAGGGTAAGGGAAAGGGCACACCCTAAGGGGTACCCTGTCATCAATTCAACCATTCGAATGGTCTCCCCTAAGGAGCAATTAATTCGATCAGAATAGTGGAATGGAAGGCAGTAAAAGAATTAAATACTCCATTCTTTTCCAATCGCCCCGCGAAGATAGACGTTTGGAAAGGTTCTCGAGATTCTCAATCGCTCTTTTTAGTGGGGAGAAATAGTGCGATACCTAAAGAAGAATAAAGAAAAGGAAAACATTATTGTAAATGTCACGAGAAATGGACTCACTCTACAAATAATTGTGTAAATTTCAGGAATCTGATTCAAGATTACTTTGACAAAGGTTTGTTCCGGATAGCAGGCCGACCAATGGGAATCGAGACATCACCGTTTGCGGGAGCAGTAGAGATCAATATGATGTCTGCTGACCTAAGGAAGTTGTCTAACCCACAGTAAGAGTTGGAGGCGGCTGAGCACATCCCACAATAGTCAAGCCCAAATGCCTTTTTCTTTATTCGGATTCTGCTTGAAACTAGTCCCGTCTTCGCAGCTTTTCTAAGAAGTTTCGTTCCTATCAATAGAAAGATCTCTTTCTTCTAGTCGTGGCTTCATCTGCGGCGCCACAAGCAGCAGGTAGTTGCTTCGATGACTCTGAACGGAAACAAGCTCGAAGGTTCCCCTTCAAACCCGTGACCTATAGGTCACAGGGAACTCGTGACCTATTGGTCCCCATATTTGATTCAATAAAATGAATGCTACTGGCCCATAGATTTTTGTGAATGGAAATTCTTCCTTCATGGAGAAAATATACAGTGATTACTTTATCTGAAAATATACACTGGTTCTCAAAATAATCCATTTTTTTTCCGGTTTATTAGATTTTTAATGAGAAGTATAAGAAGAGTAATTTAACTTTGAGCATATGCTGTCTCGAAAGGAAGTGTTAAATGTTTCATCTCTTCTCTGAATCATGAGCTAATCCGAGAATAAAGTAACTCATCTAGAATTATTATTTGCTCATCTTCTGTGCTTTACATTTTAAGCAATGTGAGGGGGTAAAACTGCTATCTAGCTACTTTAAATTCTGGAGAAGAAGTTTATATTGTCTATCTCCTTGATTTTGACTCTAAAGACTTTATAGATCAGGATTTGGTAGTACTTATCGTTTAAGAAGGTAACTATGAAGCAAATACTTGCTGAATTCTTGATGCAGAAATATGCTGTTAATTTCAGGTTTTAACTTATTTGCTACATTATGAGTGAATTGTCTTTTGTATTATCCACCTTTATCCTCTTTCTCCTATAAATTATTCAAAAGCCGCTGTATTTGCTTCGTCTAGAGAAACTATGCTTGCAATTCTGAGAAGTAACTATTTCTGCCATAGTATCAAGGATGCACCTTTGTCCTCTTTCTCAAGTTGCTATCATGTTACAAAACATTGTCTATGAACCTGTAGCCATTATGCTTCCATTATGCACCTTTGGTGTATTTTTATTTTTAATGTCCGACTAAGTCTTTCAATGAGTTTGCCTTAGTATTGTGCTTTATACCATTATATTGAATGATCCTGATTGGTTGCTTTATATTCATATAATGCATACATCTTTAATTGCGGGTCTGACTGATTCAACAGCTTTGTATGAATTAGGTATTTTGATATTTCTGATCTTATTCTTGATCCAATGTGGAGACAGGGCGTAAGTGCACATTAGCTGGTCAATGGGGGTAAGAAAGTCTTTTATTAGTGTTCTCAGTCTTAAAGCAACCTTGTTTGGTCAACAACGGGATATAAAACGAGCAAGTTCTCGTCCCATAAGTCTAACTACTCTATACAATTCGAGTCATTCTCTCCGGCGTCTTGTGCAACAAGAATGTACCACCAAGACTTAAAGGTAAGTTCTACAGAGTGGTGGTTAGACCGGCTATGTTATACGGAGTTGAGTGTTGTTCAGTCAAGACCTCTCATATTCAAAAGATGAAAGTAGCGTAAATGAGGATGCTGAGATGGATGTGTGAGCATACTAGAAGAGATAAGTTAAAGGAATGAAGATATCTGGGACAAGGTGGGAGTAGCCTGTGTGATGGACAAGAAGTAGGAAGCGAGGCTGAAATGGTTCGGTCATGTGAAAAGGAAAGACACAGATGTCCTAGTGAGGAGGTGTGAGAGGTTGGCTATGGCTGATCCAAGGAAAGATAGAGGTAGGCCGAAGAAGTATTAGGGAGAGGTGATCGGGCAGAACATGACACATCTTTAGCTTACCGAGGATATGACCCTTGATAGCAGGGTGTGGAGGTCTAGGATTGAGGTAGTAGTTTAGTAAGTAGTCGGGTGTATTTCTTTTTCAAACCTATACTTTTTTTAGTACTAGTGTTATCCTCGTATTCCCTATTTTTAGATCTCTATTGCTACCTTGTGTTTTTTTTGCTTTTGGCTATGTAATTTTTGTTGTCGTTTTTGTTAATGCTACTCTTTCTGTAATTCTTTGTCATAACTGTTGTGATTTTGTTTTTATTAAGCCGAAGGTCTACCGAAAATATCATATCTACCTTCACAAAATAGGGGTAAGGTCTACATACATACTACCTTCCGACCGGTGAAAATACACTGGGTATGTGTTTGTCTCTATGCACCATCACCACCACTAGAACCTGACACACATAGAAGGATTTTATTATAATGTATTTTCTATACCCATAGACTAGTTTATCATTTACAAGTGATGACTATGAAGAGAATTGATTTGGGAAAACATGTCAATATGGCGTATAACCAATGTTTGCCACAATGTTCCCATTGACTGTTGCTGATACTATCTCATGATTCTCATAAATAAAGAAAAAGAAAAATGCATTTTATTTAAGTCTCCTTCAACTATTTTTAAATAAAATAAAAATATTTGAGTGGCGACTTTAAAAATTGGGACAAGTAAAATTGTCAATTTAGATATCTGGCGTTTCCAAAATTTTGAAAGTAAGTTTACTCTTGCAATCACAAATCGAGGGCCGAACACTTCCTAATGAAGTCAGCCCTGGAGCAAAACCATATAGACAAAAACCCTAGTCCAAACTTCAGAGACTCCGTAGTTTCTCCTCCATATTCACCCAACTATGGCAAGGAACAACGCTGCAAAAATACCTGAAAAAATCATGTTTGACATATTTTTGTGGCTGCCTGCAAAGTTCATAGGCCAATGTAGGTGCGTGTCAAAGCAATGGCGCAAGTTTCCCTCAGACCCACAATTCATCAAAGCTCACCTCGCTCTCCATTCCCATAAACATGAAGAAGATAAGCTCATTGTTGTTGATTGCTCTCTTCACACTATCACCTTTACCCACAATCCCCGAGATAATTTTGATGCCATATCAAGAAAGCTTGATTTTCAGCAGCTCTCAGATTTCTCCTTATGATCATTCAGTAACTGACCTTGCTTCTGGGGTTTTGGTAAATGGGGCTTTGCATTGGTTCGCTAGTAAGAAAACTTCTGATGCGTCGTGTGTAATTGCTGCTTTTCATTTAAGTGATGAGACATTCTTGTAGGTGCCAGTACCTGCCATGGATTACAATTACTCTTTGTTTGAACTTGTGGCTCTTAGAGGGTGTCTTTGTATGTTCCCCAATTTAACCGTAGACACAATCACAATCTGTTTGATGGAAGACTATGGGGTTAAGGAGTCTTGGACCACATTTAGGCTTACGGCACCGAATTTACATGATTCTTTTTGGACACCATTGTGTTCAATGACCGATGATGATATAGTAATGGATGTCGAAGAAAAGTTACTTCTCTACAATATGAAAGAGAATGAGTTGTGGGATCTGATGGTTGATGTAAGTTTTGCTTTGAATAAAGCTCGAACCTTCATAGAAAGTCTTTTCTGTCCTTCCTTTGTAATGGAACTCAGGGTCAATATAATGCTTGATGCGCGAAATGATTGTCTGGATAATGCTTGTCTGCATCCAGTTATTACAAAAACATTTTCACGTTTTCTTGTTCATTTTTGATAATCTTTAGTGTGATTTTTGAATTTGGTCCCCCATATGTATGATTCAGTAAAATGAATGCTACTGGCCCGTAGTGTTTTGTGAATGAAAATTCTTCCTTCCTGGAGAAAATATACATTGATTACTTTATCTGAAAATATACAGTGGTTCGCAAAATAATCCTTGTTTTCCAGTTTATTAGATTTGTAATGAGAAGTATAAGAAGAGTAATTTAACTTTGAGCATATGCTGTCTCGAAAGGAAGTGTTAAATGTTTCATCTCTTCTCTGAATCATGAGCTAATCCGAGAATAAAGTAACTCATCTAGAATTATTATTTGCTCATCTTCTGTGCTTTACATTTTAAGCAATGTGAGGGGGTAAAACTGCTATCTAGCTACTTTAAATTCTGGAGAAGAAGTTTATATTGTCTATCTCCTTGATTTTGACTCTAAAGACTTTATAGATCAGGATTTGGTATTTAAGAAGGTAACTATTACAGAGTATACTTACTGAATTCTTGTCTCTTGATGCAGAAATATGCTGTTAATTTCAGGTTTTAACTTATTTGCTACAGTAGGAGTGAATTGTCTGCTGTATTATCCACCTTTATCCTCTTTCTCCTGTAGATTATTCAAAAGCCGCTGTATTTGGTTCGTCTAGAGAAACTATGCTTGCAATTCTGATAAGTAACTATTTCTGCAGTAGTATCAATGATGCACCTTTGTCCTCTTTCTCAAGCTGCTATCATATTTTATAAAACATAGTGTATGAACCTTTGGCCTGAAGAATTCCCCTGCCTCCTCCCAACTCCCCTGAAAAATTGGTTTAATTAATTAGAATTAATCGTCAAGGGTAAAGGGAAGCATTTCATGGCTTTATATCACTTTCTTGTTATGCCACATATAACCGAATTGACACTGTTCTTATGCTTGCATAGGAACAAAATTTGCTTCCACAGTAGACTTGCATTTGTGGTTTGTATATGGTGAAGTACACAGTACTGCAGCACCGGCAGGAGAAAAGTTTCCTTTTGAGCAAACCCTCATACTTGAGATTTATTTGTTGACTGTTTAACCTCAGTTGAGTTTCTCAACATTCGAATGATCTGAGTAGCTATTTGTAGGCTCATTTTACGAGAGGGTTTACGTTATGTTTTTCTATTATAACGTAGATTTTCGGGTTGATTGGGACTCTTGATTCTTGACTTAGAAGTTTAAATTAGAAAATATTGACCAAACTTTGACTTTTGTGAAAACGATCCCGGAATTGTGTTTTTATGGCCCCGATAGCTTCTTATCGTGATTTCAGACTTGGACGTATGCCCGGAATTGATTTTGGAAGTCCGTAGGTTGAATTGTATTGATTTGCCGAAATTTGGCAATTTGAAGTTGAAAAGTGTGACAGTAGGTTGACTTTTAGCTCTCGAGCTCGGAATTTGATTTTGGGACTTGGAATAGGTCTGATATGGTATTTAGAACTTGTATGCAAAATTTGGTGTCGTTTGGAGTTAGATTTGATAGGATTCGGATGTTTAGTTGTAACTTTAGAAATTCTTGAACTATATTTTGAAATTCATGCTTGTTAGTGTTCGATTCGTAGTTTTAGTTGTGATTGTGGGATTGCAGCATTTGTTTAAGCAGAGGGATCCTAGTTACTTTGAAATTTCCCAGTTTTATGTTATGAAAGCAGCAATATTGCCCTTTGTACTGAGTATCAAAAGTTGTATTTTTGCTATGTTTGAGGCAGCACAGGTGGCTTGAGTTTGAAATTTCCCAGTTTTAGTTTATGAAAGCAGCAATATTGCCCTTTGTACTGAGTACCAAAAGTTAAATTTTTGCTATGTTTTAGTTTATCAGAAATAACTGTCTAATGTTACAGAGCACTAGAACAGGGTAAAGACTTAACATGCAATTGGCTACCTTGAATCTTGGATAATACTGGATGACAATGGCTAGCATTTTAGTTACATTATATGATGGAATGATAACATATAATTAATGAATTTTATCTGCATTGACAGGAAAAGA